ATGTGTCTTCTATAACAAAACCTGCAGCCTTTGTTCCAGGAAAAACTAAACGCTGAAAACAGATGTGGGGGAAAGTTACAGCGAATGTGGACAACAGCATGGCTCTAAAGCAACACTCTAAACCTTTTGGCTGTGGCTCCTTGGCGTTAGTGTTATGAAGAAATGATCCATGTTCATTTTCTAACACTAATAACAGTGATAAGGAGCTTGTGGGCCACTGATCCCTCACTTATACAAAGACTACCCTCCTGCAAAAATGTTTAAAGATCTGCAGTAATGGAGCATTTTGTCAAGTTTCTATTGCTGATGGAGACCTTGAGTTTTTGTCTGTTTTTTTTTTTTTGTCATTGTTGTTGATCATTTAAGAACCTTGAGCTAGATGTTATTCTGTAAATTTTTATGTTGTAGAAAAGCTTCATTAGAAAGATGCTAACATTGATTATTTCACTGCATCCGTCGCACACACATGGACCTGCAAGCCTCTTCAACACGAAGGTCAAATACCAAACATGCAAACCCACTCATGGTTCAACAGAATCTACATGACAACTGGCGCTGAGCACAACAGAGGACAAAAAGGCACCAGACTATACCTTCTGTAACAAACACAAAAATCAGGAACACAAAGTGATATATAACGGGACATTTTATTGTCCATCCATCCATTATCTTTACCCGCTTATTCCATTTTGGGTCACGGGGGTCGCTGGTGCCCATGTCCAGCAATCACTGTGCAAGGGGCGGGGTACACCCTGGACAGGTCGCAAGTCCATCACAGGGCCACATAGAGACAAACGAGACAAAAAACCATTCACTCTCCCACTCACACCAAGGGACAATTTAGAGTTACCAATCAGCCTAACATGCATGTTTTTGGTCTGTGGAGGAAACCGGAGTACCCGGAGAAAACCCACGCATGCACGGAGAGAACATGCAAACTCCACCCAGAGGGCCCCTGGACCGGGGTATGAACCAAGGACCTGCTCATTTTTTATTTTTTATTATTTTATTTTTTTCACATTTTTATTATTTTTTATTGCACATTCACAGTATTGTGGTGAAATCCAAAATGGTTCCAAAGAGTTCTTCTTACTCAAAGTTGGGCAAGTGGTGTAAGGTAGGAAACAACTGGAGAGGTCACAAGAACACTCAGGAGGATCACAGGAGTCAAGCTACAACAAGAAATTAGCGTTAGTCTTTCACAAAACACTAGGAACCACATAAAGGCCATAGCAGTCATCATCTGCCTTAAGTACCGTATTTTCTGGACTGTAAGTCACTTCGGCGTATAAGTCGCATTTATTTTGAAGTGTATTTCACAAAGGGCAAGAACAGACATTTAATCTGAAATAGCAATAACACACAGAACATAGCTGGGATCCTGAACAGGCTTGAAGAACATAACAAGCCAACGAGTCCGACAAGCAAGTTACCGGTAAATTCACCAATCTCGTTCTTTGGTGTTATGGCTGAAAATGATAATGTTTACTCTTTGATTCATGTCAGTACAAATGAATGGTTAACACCTCAGTCAAAAACTGTCATGAATATGGAAACACACATAAATAAGTTGCTTCAGACTATAAGTCGCAGGAACTATGATGAAAGTGCGACTTAAGGTGAATGATCCACAGGTGTGGGTCTGTGAGTGCCCTCTGGTGTAGACGAGTGGCAAAGGAAAACTGCTGAACTCACAGTTTGCGAGTGTTTATTAGGTCTCTTGTCACACTAGTCGTTCGATTTTCTTCAATCCTGGTGGGCGATCATGTAATTGCATGTGTGTATTTGCGTGTCCGTCTGTTGGCAAAATATGTCACGAGCCACCGGACAGATTTTAATGAAACTCTCCGAAAGTACGTACATCAAGCTTATCGACATTAGCAAACACAAAAATGACTTCAACTCAGTCGTGCGTACAAGAACCAAAGTTATTGAAGTGTGGTAGTAGCTGAGAGTCATGCCCAACGCATGTTCCGACCACTAACGGATCACGCAAGGTGAAAAGCTTGGGGTTTTTCTTTTCAAGAATTCTAGTTTTGTTTTTAACGCCTCTTCCATTGCTTTGATGTGTTTTCAGTTCTTTGGCGGTCTTTCTGGCCCCTCCTCTTTATTGTGGTTTGACTAACGATGGCAACACACGGAGGCTCTGGACCCCTCCCACTGAAAACTTGGGCCCAGGCTGCAACCTTCTTCAGTGATCTCTCCACATAAACCTCCCTCATTAAGATGAATCCAAGCCAGTGAACTAAAATATGTCAAGGGTTTTGGATCCAGCTCTCTCTATAGCTTTTTCTTTGAGCTTCTGAGGAGTGGAATGGTGACAGATGCTCACAATCTCTGTTTGGGTCCTCTTGTCTAAACTCTACTTGTCCTGGAATGCTGACCCATACTTCTTCATCCCACACTTTTTTTTCCCCAGTCTTCCTCTTTCTTTCTGTTTGCAGCTGTTGTAGACTCAAGCTTCCAGTCAGAAGAACTGCTGACAGACGGACTAAATGTCACTTTCATCATCGTAGCTGCCCTCCACAGACAGCGTGATTTACAGTCGCCCTCCTATTTTGGTCATTAGCTCAGTTCTTGTGATGCTTGTCCTGTTTTCAGATGGATGGTCCAACAAGACCACATTAAAAATCTTGTTTGTACTGGATGGTTCGAATATTACAGTAAAAGATCAAATCATGCTCAAGTGCCGTAAGACAGTTTCCCCAAGAGTCTGCACATTTCATACGAGTTATAAAGTAAACACTTAGAGCCTGACATCTCTCTGCCTCCTGAGGACAGCATCATTCTGATTTTGTTATTTCCTGTAATAATTATTTTCTGTTCAGTTTTCGGTGCTTCCTGTCTGTCCCACTCACACCTGTTCCCTGTTCTTCTTCTCAGTTGTCTCCATTCATCTGTCCCAGTCCATTTATTCTGTCTGTGTTCATTCATCTGCTGTCTGCCATTGTGTGTTTATGCCATGTCTGGGTCCCTGTCTGTGACTTCTTGTGCTTCTTTGTTTTGTTCGCTGCCATGACAGCTTTTTTGTTTTGTTTTTTGGATTAAAATCTTTATATGTTTTACTCAAACTCTTTGTGGGGTCTGCATTCTTCCTGGATCCAACTCCTTTAAACACCTGACAGACCAAATAAATATTAGTCCACTCATAGATAGGAAGAAAAGTCAGAAAGACAGAATTTGAGTGTTTCAGAGGAGTGGAGACAGGAGTCCATTGTCTCATCAGGCTTTTATTAGAAGAAAAAAGTATTTATAAATATGTAAATCTATGTGATAAAAAATATCCTTTCATTAGCTACAAGGGAGTCACACACAAAGACTGAATTTTTTTTTTTTACCCAGTTTACTTGCAAGGACAGAGTTCACACAGGATTAACACAGATGTTTCATTGAAGCTACGGTCACAAAGATCTGCAACCAGACAGTGTGTCAGGATTGTTTTATAATACACACTCATCAGCTCCTCCTCCACACTCGGAGAAGGATACTGCACATGCAGTGTCAAAGCAGCGCCTCATTCAGCTTCCTCTGCTAACTCAAACACACGATCCATGGGCAGTTTGTGGGCAGTTCACATTAGTTCGTGACAAACATCCTTGACCTTGACCAAAACTCCCCGGACAAAACCCATATGTCAAGTATTAGTGTTTTGTAATGGATTTTGGAAAGTATTTGGGGTGAAAAAATAATTATTTTTTTTCATTTAACTGCTAAATGTTTATATATATATATTTATATATATTTATACATATATATATTTATATATATTCTTTGTAAGACATACCATGCACATCTG